TGGCTGTGCCTTGCGGATGTCGGGGTGCTTTGCTGAGGTAATGTCGTAATGTGGCTCCCCAGAGGTCTAGACACGTTCGCGGGAACCAGCTTGTCACCCTGAACTGCTTTTTGACAGTGCCGAGAAGAGGTAAGGGCCTGCAGACTCCGAACCAGCCAACACCCGTCAGTCGTGATTCTTTCACCTCGGGGGGATGTCAGGGAACGCATGGCGTGGAGGGGCCCGTGGTGTCAGGGGCCCCCAAAAAACACTTCAAAGCTGGGAGGGGATGCTGAGGGTTGCCTTCCTGGGCCCGGGGCTGCTGGACGCGCCGTCCTCCACGATCCCAGGAAACCCCAGAAGCCTGTCAGAGGGCTCCCAGGGCCTCTTCGGAGGCCTCTGGAGGCCCAGATCGATGAAAACTACCGATGCTCCTCCCTCAAGGCCAGTGGCGCATACGTGCACCGAGCCCAAGCCCCAGAGATGGGCCTGGCAGCGTCTGGGGTGGGCGCACGGCTGGCTCCCGTGCTGCCGTCCTTCAGCCCATGGCAGCCAACGACCCTGTCTGTGCAGGGCCCGGAGCTCATGTTAGCTGCGTCGAGCTGGCCAGTGACGTCCTTAGGCGGGAGGCAAGGGAGGGGAGAGGAGTCACCCATCCTGACCCTCCCCCCTCCTCAAAGAAGCACCCACCAGAGACGTCGCGGTCTGCGTTCTGGCAAGAACTTGGAGGAGGGCCCAGCCGTGGCCTCGCGGGCACCTCGGGGGGCCCCGAATGGGGAGGCAGAAACTGTTTAACTCGGGGGTCGAGAGCGCACCTCTTCCGGTCGAAGCTAAGCGTGCCGCGCGAAGCTTGAATCAACCAGAGACGGGGGAGGAAAAGGGGGGCGCAGCCTCAGAACGAGGCGGGGAGGCTGGGAGGCAGAAACAAAGAAGACGCGGATCAACACTGACCACCCTCATCCTGCTCCTGCTCCCTCCTGGGTTTGTGCGGGGGCGGGAGAGAGGTGCCGTCCTTCGGCAGGACGTAAGCGCTGGCCCCGAAGAGCTCGGACCAGTCCAGCGCCAGTGCCGGCGTGACGGCGCGCGAGCCGCTGCCGTCGAGGTGCAGCTGCTGTTGGCCCTGGGTGGGATTGAGGGGCAACGATAGGGGGGGACTGGCATAGGGGAAATGCATCGACCTAGAATCGGCGATACATCGCCGATAGATCGGCGGTAGGCCCCCGATAAGTGAATCCTAAACTTCCTGTGCAGGTTGGGGCTATTGGGCCCCTATCGGCGATCAATAGGCGATTCGGAGTCAATGTATGCCCCCCCCATGCCTATCCCCCCCTATCGTTGCCCCTGAGGGAGGGGGGAGGTCGGGGAGCAACTAATCTGGGTCAAGCCATACCCGGGTCATGCAAGTTTTGCAAGATCCTGCAAGTCATGGTCCGCGCCCTGTCGGAAACCCCTGTTTATGGGGAAGGCTTCCCGCTTAATGGAGACAGCTTCAGCTGGAATCGTCATCGTCGTCGTCTTTGTCGTCGCGGCCATCGTCGTCGTCGTCGTCGGCGTCGTCGTGATTGACTACGGGTGGCACAGCATAGCTATGACCCATGGGTGATAACGATAGCTTTGAGTGATAAGACGATAAGGCGATAAGACGATAAACAATATCACCTTATCGTCTTATCGTACTGTCGTCTGGCGAGGCCCTGCATCGGCTTACCGTCTTATCGTCTTGTAATGTTGTACAGTCTTATCGTCTTATCGTCTTATCGGCCGGAATTGAAATAGCAACACCTATTCCCCACCACAATGTATATTGACATGTGTAGATATACATGTATATGTATGTGTGTGAATGTGTTCTCGCCTCTGGGCTCCTGAGACTCGCTGCCCTCGGCAGGGTACACGAGGTTCGCGAACGAAACGCCGTGGGAACACATGTGCTCCATTTTAGGGTTGACGTCCGAACAGAGTTCCCTATCCGCCACCGTGCCACCTTGCACGTTGAGGCGAGGCAAAATGAGAAATGCTGTTTGGCAGGGTTTCTGTAAGTCTTCTAAGCTGCAACCTGCTGCGTGCATTGCCGCAGGCACCTGGATAAGCAGGGAGATCCCTTATCTGATTCTCGATGGAGTGGATCTTGTCCAGCGCACTGGGCGTCAGCAGATTCAGACCGCCTTCGGAGGCATAGGTGACGTGGAAACTCAGCACCTCGTACATAACGCCGCGAGTCAGCCTGCCGCAACGGGCTGGAAAACATTGAGATGCAAGGGGGGGCATACCAGTCAAATATGGGATGGCGATCCTGTTCATGGCAGTCTGGAAGCAGCGCGACAACACACTGCAACGAACGAAGAACGCGACAGCTCGCGGGCCCAGCTAGCGTAGTGAGACGGCCAACTCGGCTATTAGAGTTCAGGGTTTGCATCCAACCGCGCAGCCGTAGTCAGATCAGGTCGGCCCATCGACCACTACCCAATCGCAAAATCAAACGCGAGGACAAGGACAGCACAGAACATACCATGGGACACTGCGCAAGAAACGCGGGCTGCAGGGTGCCGCGGCAAGGTTGTGGGCTCTTCATTCCGAAGGCAGAAAAACTGACCACAACAAAACCAACAATAACGGCCTACTGGGAAACGGACACCATGGAACGAGAATAGAACATGGTGACTTCTGCACTGTTTGCATATTTGGCTGCACTTGCCGCAAACCGCAAATCCTTCTAGAGAGGGGAAGATCAACACAGTCGCGCGTGCGGCATTACTGTACTATCCTCTACCAGGTGCTCGGAGTCCAGAATTACGTCCTGAATTACTCGATCGTATTGTCATCGTCACTCCGCCGGGCCCTCCTTGCCCCTCACCGGGATCGTCCCCTGGTTTTTCCCCTCACCGGGCCTCCCAAGACAGCATACAAAGGATCCCAGGATGCCCGGGATGCACATGAGGCCACGATGTGGGCTCCAAGCAATCTCAAGATAGTCCACCTAACACCCAGGCAACAGCAACCTTGTCCAGAACCCATGATAGGGCCAAGAGAGACTCCCTCCTCCTCCTCCTGTCCCGAATCGCTCCCTCGCGCATGAGCTGGCAAGGCTCGCCGTGCTGAGTGCACTTGTGCTGTTCGGCGGCGTACTACATCGGCGCTACGGAAGTTTTGACCCGTTGTGTGCTTTCAGCTAAACAACGCCTGAGCATCACATTGGTTATGAACACCACGACGGCCGTGGACATCACTCCAAAGCCTGAGAGCACCACAGAACCTATGAGCAGCCGAGCGCCGATAATCACCTTGACGCTAGCACCCCGGTGGCGGGAGCGCCATTTCGAGTTCGAACGGAACAAATGCCGAACCTCATTTTGCAGGAAGTCCTGTGCGGGAGCGCCACGTCGAAATCAAGGCAGAAAGGTTTCGATTTCTATGTTTGAGGAAGTCCTGTGCGGGAGCGCCATTTCGAAATCGAAGCAGGATGGTGTCGATTTCTATGTTTGCGGAAATCCTAGGCGGGAGCGCCATTTCGAAACCGAACCCGAAAAATTCGAAATCGTTTGAAATCGGTTTTTCGAGGACGTATGAAGCGAAACCGCCGTGTCGAAATGGCCACACCGTTTGGCATTTAAAAATTTAAAAGCCCTGACCCGAAAACTCGAAAATGCAGCTTTCGCTTAGGACTTCCTCCCCAAAACGAGCTCGACTGGATTTTGAAACCCTCGGGATCGATTTCGCAATGTGGCTTTCGCCTAGGACTTCCTCCCCAAAACGAGCTCGACTGGATTTCGAAACCCGCGGGCTCGATTTCGAAAGGGCGGTGCCGCCCGAGACTCGAGCGAAAAATATTTCAACCGAACATTGTACTGGGGCCCCGCGGCCTATCGGGCCCACTGCCAACGTTGTACTGGGGCCCCGTCGCCTAACGGGTGGCGTTGAATTTTGCCCGAACTTTCGTAGCGGCGAAGTAGTGGCAGTTGTTGCCCTTGTCGAACTGGTTGCTGTGGTGTTGACCAGGGTAGTCTAGTCGAGTGTGAAGGTGCGCAGGCGTCATCACAATCCGCGGTGCTGGTGGTAGCCAATTGTGCTGGCACTCTTGCTAGCAGCCCTGGTCACTCGTGCTGGCAATAGTGATGCTGCTCTGGCGGGGCTCGAGCAGCGCGTCGTGCCTCTGTGCCGCTGAGCCAGCTCCAGCTGGAGAGGGTCGCTATGATGATTGCGCTAACGCTGTTCAGCGACATCCTAAAATCAGCACGCCGTTGCTCTCATTTGTGACTACCTACCAGACCACCCAAACCCAACCCGAAGACCCAAATTTGACCTGCATTTCGGGTTGTGGGGGGGTACGGATACCATGTGTTTTTTCAACGTTCCCCGAACCCCCCCACTGGAAATGGAAGGCAAATTGACGGCTTCGGGTTGGGTTGGGGTGCTTTGGTGGGCGGTGAATTTGGGCCGAGGCCAGCGGCGCTGGAGCCCGATCTCATGCTGGTCATCGCAGTGCTGCCGGTTCCGCTGTTGCTCGCGCGGCTGGGCCCGCCCCAGTCACGCTGGCAGCCGGCGGCGAGCGAGGGGGGGAAGTGAGAAGGAGAAGACCCTCTCAGAAGGCTCGGAAATACCCCAGCCTTCTGAGAAGTGCTCTAAGCCTACCCCGAAGACACAAACATCTTCTCAGAAGGCGCGAAGGCTTCCGAGAAGTACCGCCGCCTTCTGAGAAGGCCTTCTCCTGTTCACTTCCCCCCCCATTCGCTCGCCGTCGAGGTAGCACTCGTGGTGGTAAGGCTTGCCTGAGCTGGCTGCGCACGCGCTGAACTCCGACATGACGTGCGCAGAAGAGCAGGATAGCTCGCGAGTCCTGATGCGCCCGGTGGTGCTGCCCGCCGTCCTGGTCATCGCTGCCTGTGCTGTTGGTGTCACTGGCCGGTGAGGAAGTATCGACTTGCTGAGCACACTGGTGCTATCTTTGAGCATCCAGCTTCCAGCTATGACTCTGAATATCCGCCTAGGGGTGGACTATGACTATGGTCGAAATGCACTACTTTCTACAAGCCCGCAGAAGCCCTCTGCGGGGTGGGGGTGAGCGGGGTGCAACAGCAGCAGGGTGTAACTGCAGCAGGAGAAACGCTGCAGGAGAAAACCAGAATCGTTTGCTTCAGGATTCTAGGATCTGTTTGCTGGACACTGCCCATGTAAAACCATCGGGCCTAGGTTTCTTTATCCCGAATCGACACACATGAGCTGTCAGAGGGGATTCGCCGAACCAGCCAATTAGAGGTAGCTTGCCTCCTGGGCGCCTCGAAACACCACGCGAGATCATGACCCATCCCTTGCCGAATCCCCTGGCTTTCCTCTGGAGGGCCACGCTTTTCAAAAAAGCCTGACGAAGGACCCAACCATATGCAATTGCGAATACCGCATTTTGAATACTAGTTTCGGTAAAGCTCCCTATGGGGCCACGAAACGTGTGAGGGGTGCGCCGGAATCGGTGGCGCGGACGCATGTGGACACCGCCACTTCGGTGGAGCTCCCGATGGGGCCACGCAGCGCTGCCCTGGGTGGGCGAGACGCATGCGAACTGCGCCACTGGGAACTTCGCTGGAGCTCCCTATGGGGCCACGAAACGCTGTCCCGGGTGGCGCTGATGCATGCGAACTGCGCCACTGACGCCTTCGGTGGAGCTCCCTATGGGGCCACGAAGCGCCATCCTGAGTGGGGGAAGGCCAAGACCAAGGAGGCTCAGAGGGGCAGGTGGCGCAAGGCTAACATGATCATATGATTGATCAGAGTGCTTTTTCTGGTCACTAGAAGAGCGCGGCAAGCTTTGAATGTGATTCGGACCTGCTCAGCGAAAAAAATGCCAGAGGTGGAGGATCAGCAGGAGCACATGAGCGTAATCTTCTGGTGCAGACCACCCTGGCAGTGCCGAAAAACTATAAGACCGGACTCTGGGGAGGTGCATCAGGCACAAACAGGGGCGAGACGCTTTGCGACTCGCTCCACCCCGCATAGGCACGGTTCACTCGCGGGGTGCCCCGCGGACCAGTCGCTAACAGGGGGCTGCACAACAGGCATAGCTCACCTGCAACGATTTTCAGCCCTTCCTGCAAGGGGAAACGGCGGGGTAACCCAAACGGGTCCACACAGAGCACGAAGCTTCCAATCTGGCGGGCCTAATCACGTCCCACATGGCACCGCCATTCCGATCAGTGGGCCATGGTTCACAGGAGGGGAGGGGGGAGAGCAGGAGAAGGCGGAGGAGGATGCCTCATCATCCTCGTTTCTGTCACAGCGGAAGGGAAGAAGAAGAAGAATAAAAAGAAGAAGAAAGAAACGAACCGCGAGCGGGAAAGAAGGACATGGACCGAATTAAACTGTGAAATCCACCAGATCCTCTCCGGGAAAACTTCGTTTGAGGAAATCCGCCAGCCATCAAGGCGGGGGCCCCTTGGGAGCAGAACTGTCCAGCACGCTCCTCACAGCCCCGATGCGCTTTTCGGGAAACTGCTGGAGAAAATTATGTGAGCTGCGAACTGCGAGTGAGTCGCCACTCTGGATGAATATGGAAGAAAACATAAAAGAGAAGGAAGACGAAGAAGAAGACGAAGAAGAACCACGAATGCACACCCCTGAATACAGGGCGGGCATAGCCAGGCCTACCTAAAAGATGAAATCCAACAGGACCGCTCCAGTGTATCAGGCCTGGGCCTCTTGGGAGCAGAACTGTCCAGCATGCTCCTCACAGCCCTGATGCACTTTTCGGAAAACTCCTGGAGAATATTATGCGAGCTGCGGTGTGCGCGTGAGTCTACCATGGGACGCCCCTGGATACAGGCGGGCATGACCGGGCCTACCTGAACGGCTCGACAAACTCGTGGAGAATATTATGTGAGCTGCGAGCTGCGCGTGTGGCGACGAGTGGGGCGCCCCTGGAAACAGGGCGGGCATGGCCGAGCCTGCCTACCCTGCAATGTTCGTCGGTGTCGGTGTCGTGTTGGGTTCGTGCGCCCACATGCGGCCCCACATCTGCAATGTCGATCTGCTTGCTGCTCCGGTCCCCCCCTCCCTCCCTTTCCCTCGTTATCAGGCTTGACATGCGAATCGGTCTCCAGGGAAAAACTGGCAGCGTGATCGGCTTGGTCACTCAATGTGTGGATCGGTGTCTGGCTTTCGACCCACAGTGTTCGATTACGTCTCTGATCCTCGAACTGCTCTGTAGGAGATTTCAGCTCTACTGTGCTCACGCCATCCTTGTCCCTCTCGTTCCGTCTTGCTCCCGCACTCCCTGTCTTCCGTCCTGTCCCGATCGCCGCTGTCTCCATGGCCCATGGCCGTTGAGTGCTCAGACTACCAGCCTGCTGAAGTGGTCAAATAATCGTCAGGGCCACCCTCTCAAGGGGCCCTTTTGAGGAAATCCGCCCGCCGTCCAGGCCAGGGCCTCTTGGAATCACAGCCCTGGAGCACTTTGCGATAAACTCCTGGAGAAGATCATGGGAGCTGCGAGCTGCGAGCTGCGCGTGAAATCTACGAGTGGCACGCCCCTGCCGTCCAGGCCGGGGCCTCTTGGAAGCAGAACTGTCCAGCACGCTCCCCACTGCCCTGATGCACTTTGCGGGAAGCTCCTGGAGAAGATTATGCGAGCTGCGTGCTGCGCGCCCCCTCGCCCCCCCGCTGCCCCCGCTGCCCACCGCTGGCACGCGGGCCGCAGCCGCGGAGGAGACCTCTCTCGAGAGCGAGTCCGGCCGAGATGGAGCGGGAGAGAGCTTTTGATGCCAGCGCGCACTGCCCCAGCAGCCAGCAGCCTGCGGCGCGGCTCGCGGCCTCCCCGCGCGCCGCCCAGCTGCCCAGGAAGCCGAGGCTCAGCCGCTCGCGGAGCGCGGGCGCCTGCCTCCCCTCGCCGACAGCGACCTCCCCGCGCGGCGGGGGCGGGCCTGGGAGGGCGCCTCCTCGAAGGGGGGAAGAGATGTGGTGGTCGTCGCGGCTGTCAGCGTCGAGAGGGGCCAGCCTCGATGCTGACGTCCCGCGCGCGTGGGCCCGGCCGACTCGCCGCCGCACTGGCTCGGGCCCGCGCAGCACGGGACCCTCTGGCGCTCGTCGGGGCCGGTTGGCCTGCGGGAGATGCTCTCCGACTCTGTGTCGCTCGACTGGTCGCTCATGGCTGCGCCACTGGCCGGCTCCACTCCGGGCAGCATGGGGACCCTGAAGGCCTGGGCGACACGCCGGACCGACGTCCCGTTGACCGGGCGAGGCTCGGGGCAGGTCTCTCGGCCGGTGACGAGCTTCCTCATCTCGGACAGGTCGCTGAGGGGCCAAGAGGCCGCAATCTCAGGAAGCCGGAGCCCGCAGGGCCTGCGGATCCTGCGGATCCCGTCGGGGCCGAGGACGCCGGGGCCTGGCACGGCCCCCCCGTGGGCGACGCTGCGGGGGCGCCCGCGGGCCATCCTGGGAGTCGAGGGCTGCCTCGGTGCGGGCGCCGCCGCGCTGGAGGCCTCCGCCCACGCCAGCGCTGGCCTTGGCCGATGCTGGTAGGGAAGATCGTCGCTCGCGAGGCTCGCCATCCCTGCCGGCCTAGAGGTGGGGGGATCCCGACGTGCAGCACAGGGTGCTTCGCCAAAATTATGACTCAGTGACTTGAGCCAACACGTCTACGGGCAAGGACAACATGATCACGAGGGGGGGGCGCCAGAAGCGGAAGCCGCTCTCCTGAGCGGACGCCTGTGCGTGAGGCTCGTCTCTCTCTCTCTCTCTCTCTTTCGTTATGTTGTTCCTCTCTCTCTCTCTCTGTTTTTTTTTTCTCTCTCTCTCTCTCTCTCTCTGAGCATTTTCGCGTGCAGGCGTCTCGCGAGCCTGTCTCGGGCAGTCCCTCGGGGCGGTGGCCGTTTGCCACCCTCCAGCGCCGGGCCAAGAGGGTTCGGTGCCCGCCGCAGGCTGCAGGAGCAGCTCGAGGCGCGCTGCGCGCCTTGCTGCGCGATGGGGAAACATCCCAGCGGCGTAGCACGCAGGCGTCTCCCCCACCCCGCACAACGTCTCGTGCCCTCATGGGGAGCTCCACCCCCAAGGTCCCAGTGGCGCAGCCCGCAGGCGATCGAAGACGAGCTGCAGACAAAGGTGCACGGCGACCGCGAGGACGACGCCGGCGCGGGCGCGCTGCCCGCGGGCCATCGCGAGGGCGACGGGAGCCAGGCTGCCGAGGAGGCGTGCGTGTCCAACGCTGGTCCGAGGCTGCCACGCGGTGTACACTGCCCATGTAAAAGCATTGGGCCTAGGTTTCTTCATCCCGAATCGACACACATGAGCTGTCAGAGGGGATTCGCCGAACCAGCCAATTAGAGGTAGCTTGCCTCCTGGGCGCCTCGAAACACCACGCGAGATCATGACCCATCCCTTGCCGAATCCCCTGGCTTTCCTCTGGAGGGCCACGCTTTTCAAAAAAGCCTGACGAAGGACCCAACCATATGCAATTGCGAATACCGCATTTTGAATACTAGTTTCGGTAAAGCTCCCTATGGGGCCACGAAACGTGTGAGGGGTGCGCCGGAATCGGTGGCGCGGACGCATGTGGACACCGCCACTTCGGTGGAGCTCCCGATGGGGCCACGAAGCGCTGCCCTGGGTGGGTGAGACGCATGCGAACTGCGCCACTGGGAACTTCGCTGGAGCTCCCTATGGGGCCACGAAACGCTGTCCCGGGTGGCGCTGATGCATGCGAACTGCGCCACTGACGCCTTCGGTGGAGCTCCCTATGGGGCCACGAAGCGCCATCCTGAGTGGGGGAAGGCCAAGACCAAGGAGGCTCAGAGGGGCAGGTGGCGCAAGGCTAACATGATCATGTGATTGATCAGAGTGCTTTTGCTGGTCACTAGAAGAGCGCGGCAAGCTTTGAATGTGATTCGGACCTGCTCAGCGAAAAAAATGCCAGAGGTGGAGGATCAGCAGGAGCACATGAGCGTAATCTTCTGGTGCAGACCACCCTGGCAGTGCCGAAAAACTATAAGACCGGACTCTGGGGAGGTGCATCAGGCACAAACAGGGGCGAGACGCTTTGCGACTCGCTCCACCCCGCACAGGCACGGTTCACTCGCGGGGTGCCCCGCGGACCAGTCGCTAACAGGGGGCTGCACAACAGGCATAGCTCACCTGCAACGATTTTCAGCCCTTCCTGCAAGGGGAAACGGCGGGGTAACCCAAACGGGTCCATACAGAGCACGAAGCTTCCAATCTGGCGGGCCTAATCACGTCCCACATGGCACCGCCATTCCGATCAGTGGGCCATGGTTCACAGGAGGGGAGGGGGGGGAGCAGGAGAAGGCGGAGGAGGATGCCTCATCATCCTCGTTTCTGTCACAGCGGAAGGGAAGAAGAAGAAGAAGAAGAAGAAGAAAGAAACGAACCGCGAGCGGGAAAGAAGAACATGGACCGAATTAAACTGTGAAATCCACCAGATCCTCTCCGGGAAAACTTCGTTTGAGGAAATCCGCCAGCCATCAAGGCGGGGGCCCCTTGGGAGCAGAACTGTCCAGCACGCTCCTCACAGCCCCGATGCGCTTTTCGGGAAACTGCTGGAGAAAATTATGTGAGCTGCGAACTGCGAGTGAGTCGCCACTCTGGATGAATATGGAAGAAAACATAAAAGAGAAGGAAGACGAAGAAGAAGACGAAGAAGAACCACGAATGCACACCCCTGAATACAGGGCGGGCATAGCCAGGCCTACCTAAAAGATGAAATCCAACAGGACCGCTCCAGTGTATCAGGCCTGGGCCTCTTGGGAGCAGAACTGTCCAGCATGCTCCTCACAGCCCTGATGCACTTTTCGGAAAAACTCCTGGAGAATATTATGCGAGCTGCGATGAGCGCGTGAGTCTACCATGGGACGCCCCTGGATACAGGCGGGCATGACCGGGCCTACCTGAACGGCTCGACAAACTCGTGGAGAATATTATGTGAGCTGCGAGCTGCGCGTGTGGCGACGAGTGGGGCGCCCCTGGAAACAGGGCGGGCATGGCCGAGCCTGCCTACCCTGCAATGTTCGTCGGTGTCGGTGTCTTGTTGGGTTCGTGTGCCCACATGCGGCCCCACATCTGCAATGTCGATCTGCTTGCTGCTCCGGTCCCCCCCTCCCTCCCTTTCCCTCGTTATCAGGCTTGACATGCGAATCGGTCTCCAGGGAAAAACTGGCAGCGTGATCGGCTTGGTCACTCAATGTGTGGATCGGTGTCTGGCTTTCGACCCACAGTGTTCGATTACGTCTCTGATCCTCGAACTGCTCTGTAGGAGATTTCAGCTCTACTGTGCTCACGCCATCCTTGTCCCTCTCGTTCCGTCTTGCTCCCGCACTCCCTGTCTTCCGTCCTGTCCCGATCGCCGCTGTCTCCATGGCCCATGGCCGTTGAGTGCTCAGACTACCAGCCTGCTGAAGTGGTCAAATAATCGTCAGGGCCACCCTCTCAAGGGGCCCTTTTGAGGAAATCCGCCCGCCGTCCAGGCCAGGGCCTCTTGGAATCACAGCCCTGGAGCACTTTGCGATAAACTCCTGGAGAAGATTATGGGAGCTGCGAGCTGCGAGCTGCGCGTGAAATCTACGAGTGGCACGCCCCTGCCGTCCAGGCCGGGGCCTCTTGGAAGCAGAACTGTCCAGCACGCTCCCCACTGCCCTGATGCACTTTGCGGGAAGCTCCTGGAGAAGATTATGCGAGCTGCGTGCTGCGCGCCCCCTCGCCCCCCGCTGCCCCCGCTGCCCACCGCTGGCACGCGGGCCGCAGCCGCGAGAGGCCGAGATGGAGCGGGAAAGAGCTTTTGATGCCAGCGCGCACTGCCCCAGCAGCCAGCAGCCTGCGGCGCGGCTCGCGGCCTCCCCGCGCGCCGCCCAGCTGCCCAGGAAGCCGAGGCTCAGCCGCTCGCGGAGCGCGGGCGCCTGCCTCCCCTCGCCGACAGCGACCTCCCCGCGCGGCGGGGGCGGGCCTGGGAGGGCGCCTCCTCGAAGGGGGGAAGAGATGTGGTGGTCGTCGCGGCTGTCAGCGTCGAGAGGGGCCAGCCTCGATGCTGACGTCCCGCGCGCGTGGGCCCGGCCGACTCGCCGCCGCACTGGCTCGGGCCCGCGCAGCACGGGACCCTCTGGCGCTCGTCGGGGCCGGTTGGCCTGCGGGAGTGCTCTCCGACTCTGTGTCGCTCGACTGGTCGCTCATGGCTGCGCCACTGGCCGGCTCCACTCCGGGCAGCATGGGGACCCTGAAGGCCTGGGCGACACGCCGGACCGACGTCCCGTTGACCGGGCGAGGCTCGGGGCAGGTCTCTCGGCCGGTGACGAGCTTCCTCATCTCGGACAGGTCGCTGAGGGGCCAAGAGGCCGCAATCTCAGGAAGCCGGAGCCCGCAGGGCCTGCGGATCCTGCGGATCCCGTCGGGGCCGAGGACGCCGGGGCCTGGCACGGCCCCCCCGTGGGCGACGCTGCGGGGGCGCCCGCGGGCCATCCTGGGAGTCGAGGGCTGCCTCGGTGCGGGCGCCGCCGCGCTGGAGGCCTCCGCCCACGCCAGCGCTGGCCTTGGCCGGTGCTGGTAGGGAAGATCGTCGCCCGCGAGGCTCGCCATCCCTGCCGGCCTAGAGGTGGGGGGATCCTGACGTGCAGCACAGGGTGCTTCGCCAAAATTATGACTCAGTGACTTGAGCCAACACGTCTACGGGCAAGGCCAACATGATCACGAGGGGGGGGCGCCAGAAGCGGAAGCCGCTCTCCTGAGCGGACGCCTGTGCGTGAGGCTCGTCTCTCTCTCTCTCTCTTTCGTTTTGTTTCTCTCTCTCTCTCTGTCTCTGTCTCTTCTCTCTCTCTCTCTCTCTCTCTGAGCATTTCGCGGGCAGTCCGTCGGGGCGGGGGCCGTTTGCCACCCTCCAGCGCCGGGCCAAGACGGCCGCAGGAGGAGCTCGAGGCGCGCTGCGCGCCTTGCTGCGCCATGGGGAAACATCCCAGTGGCGTAGCACGCATGCGTCTCCCCCACCCAGTACAATGTCTCGTGCCCTCATGGGGAGCTCCACCCCCGAGGTCCCAATGGCGCAGCCCGCAGGCACCTCCCCACCCAGTGCAGCGCTTCGCGGCCTCACAGGAGGATCCGCCGAAGGTCCCAGTGGCGCAGCCCGCATGCGTGGACCCAGTACAGCGCTTCGTGGCCCCATTTGGAGAGGCACCGAAGGTCGCGGTAGCGCAACCAGCATGGCGCTTCGTGGCCATGTGGGGAGCTCCACCGAAGGCCCCCGTGACCTTGGCCGCGCGCGTCCCCCCCGCCCATTTCGGCACACCCCTCACGCGTTTCGCAATAGAGCCCAGAATCGAATCGATAAGTCGGATCGGCGATCGAAATGAATCGGATCGGCGGAAATCGGCAGTGGAGTCGGGAGACGTCGAATCGGCGGAAATCGGCAGGCTGGTGTGCCTCCAGTGAGAAATCAAAGCCCAAATCGAAAACTCCGAAATCGGATCGTATCGGAATCGGGAGCCATCGAACTCGAATCGGATCGAATCGGAGGAGTCGAGATGAGC